TCAAAACAATTGAAGGGAACTTCCCAGTAAATCACCATCCATAGTGATATTTCAACACAAATAATATTTGACCTCCATAATCTTGCTAAAAAGATCAATACGAATAGTAATTTTGATCAAAAAAAGATTGTTGAGCTTAATAATCCCATTTGATAAACATTGGTAACCTATTTGATTGGCAAGCAAATCAAAAAGCACATGGCGCATGTAAAAGGCCTTTGGAGTAGGTCACATTGCATAAAAACCTTTGAGGAAGCTAGTTAAGAACACATGTATTTGTCAGATGATGTCGAACACCTCAATAATGTATAATAAAGTATATTTAAAGTGAAGTTGTATGGTACAAATGTTCATGTAGCCGATCTTCCTCAGCTTCTCAAAGATTTACAATGATTACAGAAATCAGATCTGGCTTTTAGGTCCCGAATACTGTAAGTACAAACAGAAATATTTGTAAAGTTATAATTAAACCATCGTGATTTAGTATAATTAGAAAATAATGGCAAAAGTGTTAAAGTAATCTCGTGTTTCCAGGGCCGGCTGCGGTAGCTAAACCCTGATGCTAACGGCTAAATGCTAACATGGTTCTGTTATACGCTTACTTTCACTAAACATCAAGAAGGGAAACAATCTGTTATAGTTTAAGTTTTCAATTTATGCCTTCATTTATCAGGATTTCGTTTTAGGTTTGAAACAATTGGCTGTACAGCAGACAAAATAACTGGGATAATTATAAATTAAGTTTAAGTTTCAAGGAAGAACTGTTATACAAACTATACTGAAGTAATGGCAACTTTGTGAGTCACAATTTTTCATAAATGCCGATTGCCAACCATTGCAATTAAGTTAGATGTGGTTTGAATGACATCAGGGTGTGTAAACAAAGATTAAATTTGTCTCCCTTCATAGAAAATGCACAAAAAATATAAAAAACAATTAGAGAATGAAATGGTCCACGAATAAGAATTCGTTTTCAGAATAAAAGGCTGCCACAGTTCAGCCAGGATGAAAATAATGTCCTCAAACATGTTTGTTGTTATTAGGAATGACCTTCCGAGGAAGCACCAGTTATTGTAGAAAACACTGTGCTAAAAAAACTAAACAAAAAAAAATGTCTTTTTTTTGCACCAGAACTAAAAACAAATTTCAAACACTCCCATTCTCCTCCATTTTCATCAGTCTTCTATACAAAAAACAGATGGCAGACATTGATAAATAAATAATTTATACAATAAAGAGGAACTGCATCTGAAGAGGAGACTTTGTGTGCCCCTCCAAACCGAACTGTAGTCTACAGCCAATGGATGAAAGTCTTCAGAGAGATGGACCAAGTTCTTTAAGGCTCTGTGATGTTCTCTGTAGTAGATGTTTATCTGAAGAAAACTAATGATAGATGTCCCCATAGACGGCGTGCAGCCACACCCAAATGATACATTAAAAACCATGTGTATAGTATATATTGTGACTGTAATAATGATAATGTTGCTGAAGCAAACAGACACCACCATGAGATTAGCGGTTAGCTCGCTGTGGTCAGAGTTTGCAATGAATGTATGATCAAAATAAATATACCAGCTCACTTCTGGATTCCTCAAGGTATTGAAAGTTCTAGCAGTCCTGTCCTCAATTCTCAAAGAAAAAAAAAAGTATTCATACTGGGGTTTTTTTCTCAATCAATGACAGCAATCTTTACTTATTATTACTCAAATTTTGTTCCAATTTTGATTGGATTGTGAAATGATCTGATAGACTTGCTGCAACATTACCGATATACATGATATTTTCCCCAGCGGTTATACATTTACTCACTTCATTCCATCCACATTTATAACAGCTTGCGCTATTTTAATAAAACATATCGAGCTATTCATTTACCCAAAGAAAACAAAATTAATATTTACAGTATACTCATTTACAGCTTGATTGGCCAAATATTCAAGGCATCATTTGTTATGTGACAAACTTTATTTACCACCAAACGTTCGGTTGGAAATGTTGGCATTTATTCAAAGTTGTTACGTTAGCTACGTTTTCATCCACCCAATTTTAAACATATTCTGGATTATTACAAAAATATGTAAACGACAAGAAACTTTTTATCCCATGAGAAAAAATTCTATCCCAATATTTGAATGTGTTTTTCTGTCTGAACTGGGACATGATTGGGCAGCCATAAAGGATGAACCAACGGGGCGAGTTCATTGCACAACTGAAATGTTGTTTCGGTCATTCTAAAAGTCTGTGATCAAAGTGGTTCGGGATAATAACCTCTCTGACCTACCTTGAGCCAAAGAGCAGTCTCCTGCCTCCAAAAGCACGATTACATTTACATTTATGTATTTAACATGTTCTAAGATGCAAGAAAGCTATTACACACAAAAAACGGCCTTCTCCAATCGCAGCAACTCCCAAATGTGTTCATATGTTTGCATATTTGGTTCTAGTTAATCAGGGATGGAAATGGTGCTTTACTCGCAACATTTTACGCAATATTCCAGTTTTAACCATGACGTTTTTCAATTTGCATCTTTGATGGAAACATGACTACTGTTTTTTGAGTATTCCTGATCTATGTTTTATCTTTTTTTTAATCACATGACTAACACAGTGTCACCGGTCATTTCACATGTCGTTTGTTATTGATATAAAATGAATAATTCTGTGATAAGAAATTCAGGTGCTGGAAAGATACCAGCGATCTCCTTCTGCTCACCAAAGAGTAGAGCTTACGCTGAAACAATCATTCATAATATTTAACATTGTACAAAATAATGTTTATAAACTGCATATGAAAAAATAAATTGAATGTCATTTTGAATAAACCGCTAGATGAACGTAGCTTTCTTTTCAAGCAAGTTGTGGTTGAATATAGTTGATGAAGTGCAAGATTGGGACTTGCTAACGGTATAAATCCCTTCTTATTTATTGTTGTATTTGAAATAAGTCATCTTTGAAATAAATGTTTAAAGAAAAATATACTTTAGATTCTATGGTGCTAGAGACTCATTATAATCTATGACAGTTTGAAATAATAGTTTTCTTGCAAAGCCTTTCTTGGGGAAGAACTTATATTTCTAGCATTTTGGAACTCTTTATGTCTACTCTCAAATGTGTGTCATTTTTGGAGAAAATGGTACCAATACTGACACTAGCTACTTAGATGGAATGACACGATGAGTTTGAAGTCTCAGTATCTCTGCAAATTGTCAGTTTTTTGTTTTGTATCATCAGTATTTTCATTGTAGATTCTCATTGAAGATGTCAAATGATTCATAGATTATTAAAATGGTTTGATGCAGAAAAAAAGTGTGAAATCAATTAAAATGTGCTTTTTTTTAAAAAAAAAATGTGTAAGTTTTTTTTTTGAAGTTCATGACACATTTCACATCAGTTATTGTAGCGAATGCATCTCTAACTCAAAAGTTCAGAGGAGAATTGGGTAAAATACTAGCTGCTAACAAACACTAGTATCAAAGAAAGAAACTGAAACCATATCCAAATCTGTTGCATTCAGGAATGGATAGCCTCATCTATGACCTTTATGAATTTGATACATTTCCCAAAGGGGTTTTATAATTATAGAAATTAACACAGTTGATCAGCTACTGGGATTTTTTTGTTGCTAGGGTCACAGTCCCGGGGCATATAGAATGCTCACAAAACCAGTTCGGCTACTACAGCATCCTGCAGTACCATCCCGATTGCATTTAGCTGGGCTGAATCCTGTAAAGGGAAAATGATCCCAAACACACCTCCAGGTTGTGAAAGGTGAGTGTTTCAGTGTTGTGACAGACAATCTGGCCTCAAACCTCAATCAAGGGGTAAAACTGCTGGGTAAACAAGGCAAGCAAATGATCAGTTTCTTCGGGATCTCAGGACCGTTGAGGTGACAACCTCATAAAGCACATCAAGACAAAGCCCAGAAGTAATAGGAAAAGACTATTTATAACCAAGAGAGTGACTTTATTTTGATGAAACCCAATTATAAAACATGCAGAACTGTCATTTTCAAGATTTGCTCTTTTGCGCCCTGGTTCTGTAACTCTCTGCCTCTTCCTCTCAGGTCTGAAACTGAACTGGGAGATTTAAAGCAGGTTAAAAAACGCACCCTTTTGAAGCAGCGTTTGGTGTGTAAAGCAGTGTTTTGCTTAGTGGATGAGTGTAGTTTGAGTGCGACTGTATCCGTCACTTATTTTAGGTTTACCCTGGGCAAACATTGTGTTGTAATGTGGCACTTTTACAAAAAAAAAAATTGATTAATTGACTGATTGCATTGAATATAATTCCCTACGTGTTCATTGACATCTTTCATTGAGAATCTACATGATCATGAAAATACAGGGGAAAAACCAATAAAAAATAAAAAAGTATACTTTTAACAAACAAACGGTGGCATGTAAACCCTATCTCGAGATTATACGCTGAATTAAAAAACCTTTAAAACCTTGAGGAAACCAGCAGTGAACACAATGTCCATATAACGACCTCAGAGCTGCAGCCACCTAATAAAACTTCCTCAAACAAACCCCTTTCAGACGAGCTTGCAGACACGACGTTAAACCACAATCAACTGAACAGCAAAAAAAAAAAAAAGCCTTACAGGGAACAATTAAAGCACAAACTAAATTCTGCCACATCACAAGGCTCACTATTTGAAAAATATATTCTCTGATGTCTTTCAGCTCAAACAGCCTTCGCTTTCTTTTACCAAAACATGCACAGATTTTACATTCGCCTTAGTTTTACCTCCTGCATAGCTATCTGCCTTGCGTCCACCTCTGAAACTATTTCAGGATGGCAAAACAGCATTTATCTACATAGCAGCTAAAGAACAAGACCAACTTGAATGAATGAATTGCTTTGCTTACATTTAAGGCATTGAGAATTTGTAACAATTCAGAAATTTCTGTCATCATTTACATTTATGCATTTGGCAGACGCTTTTATCCAAAGCGACTTACATTTGAATGAAAATATTTTTTTTTATTTCTGTCAGTTCTTGCTTTCCCTGGGATATTAACCCACAAACCTTTGCGTTGTTAGCGCAATGCTCTACCAACTGAGCCACAGGAAAGCAAGGTTTGAAGCATTTAACCAAACCTTTCTCAAAAGATATCATTCCTCTGTAAAATTTCTTAAGGTATTAGAATGAGGCACAGACGATTGTGTTAATATCCATTTCTACACTCTATCATTTGTTCTGTGTGACCTATCGTTAAGCCCCACCCCCTTTAACAACTGTTGAGTGCTAACCCACTTTGTTAGAGGTTTCTGAACGCTAGCTTGTTTTAGTTACAAAGATATATATCCTTGTATGTGTTCTGCGCATTACGTCAACCTCAACCACACAACTTCCAAGCAGACGAGCAGCTTTGTTTTGCAATGGAACATACTCAGAGGATACCAGGTGTTGATTTTATGCACACCGTTTTACCATGTTGGCTAATTATTTGATTTATTTCTATGAAACTGTAATATTATGCACGCAGAGTTCCAATAACGAACAACGATTGGCTGATCTGTCCAATTGGGGTGGGGTTTGGTGATAGGCCAACAGATTTGGTAGTACCTACCCTCTCATAGGTTGGAAAATGATGACAAAATCTGTGGCTCTACTATCTCTTTAACATGAATAGAATATATTTCGTAAGCTAGTCAAGGGAGCTTCGTTAAATTAGAAATAAGCGCATCTAGTGTACATATCTTGTGCGTTAATTTAAGCATTGCAATTCAAACATAAAGCACAACAGCCTAAACTCTAGAATAGGTTCATCTAACGGAGATTTGTGACCGCATCATGCATAAAGCAAGTCTGGTCATGTGATCAGTGTATAGACGTGTGTGTGACAGCGGCCATCATCAGTACTTCCCATCAGAATATCTGACGCTTTGTACAGAAAGAGCAGTGAATGGTGTGGAATGGTGGTGGATTTGTACAGTATCTCTCTGTGTTGACCTGCACTTTCTCTGTTCACTGTACCGACACCTTAGGATAAGTTCAGCTGCCAGAATGCCTCCCGCCAACAAAGTCTCGTCTTAATAAGTGGATGGAAAGGAAAGATCTTGAAGGAGTTTGTAGCTGGCTACTGGTTTTACTGATGGAATGAAGCAGAGACTAGAGAAAACCTACCGGTGCCAAACACTATACACCGCTCTCAGCCAGCTCTGCTTTGCCTGCTTTCTTGTCATCTCTGCTGTGGCGGCATCGGTGTGTTAGGATGCTGAACTGGTAGCCGGCGAAAGTGGGGCTGATTGGGAGGAACTTGAAGATGCGATGGCGCCGCAGGAAGTCCATTCCAAATGGAAGATCATAGGACTCCATTCTTTCTCGTTTGGATGTGCTGGCTACGCAGTTCATCTTGCGGATACCCCTTTCCTCTGCTGAGCCTGGGAAGAGTGTAGGGTATCACATGTATAACGTAGCTCACTTTTAGCGTTTCACAGGACATGATGGTATGATTTAAAATTAATAATGAAATGATTAAATCTTCAGCACATCCTGAAGTAAAGCGTCTTTCACATGTAAACGTTATGGACATATTTACGGTCAAAAACAAATGTCACAAATATGTCATCAAGCAGCGATTGTGCAACAGCGTCTCATTGACACTTGTGCGCCTCCAAGTGGCTTTTTTGAGATGGGCCTATCCTGTCTCAGGCAGCGGCGCACACACACAGCAATGAATTTCTGCAAGGGTGGAGGAAGACATCTTTTGACAAATAGAGTTGTAGCCTGTACTTTATGTAACACAGATAAAACAGAGTTGTCGTTTGTCTATTAAGAGCGTTTAGGTCTCGGGCTACTGAGCAGAGAACTCGAATCTGTAGCAGCTTTCCTGAACTCTGCTGTGCTGCGGCCACCAGATGATCTGCCAAATCTTTTGGCAAAACTGGGGGAAAAAAAACAAAATAGTTTTTGCCATCTCTTTGACATTTTAGCAGAAACTTAACTTACTATTTCTGAATGCTGCCCAACTCATTCATGCTGGTGCTGCAGACGTTTTGCGTGACTGCTGTTAATCACTTCATCCCTCTTTTAATTTATTTATTTTTACCGGAATAAAGTTCATCATCCAACAGTGTTTACATGTTCAGAAGTTAATAAAAAGTGCCTCTTTTAGTTGGATTTTCCACTACCGCTGATCAAGTGAAGGCAGATCCCATGCAATACTGTGCTTGCTTTTAAAGTCTGTAAGATCTCAAGCATTTTTAGCAGTTTTCTGTGAGTTCATGAGGTGCAATGATGGATTTAGCATTGTGAATAATTTGTTATTTTATATATATATAATCAGAACCTCCATAAGATTTGCAGTGGGGTTTATCAAAGGAAGTCCTTGATTAACCCGATGAGCACCAAGGATTTTAAAGGTCTGAAAAAGTGCACCATGAAGAAGCCTCAGTGAGGCCCAGAGTAAGTGACTGCTAGAAAGCTAAGCACATGCAAGTGGTTATGTTTGTGAATATTTTTGTATGAAAGACAACAAATATGTAAACTCAAAAATGTAAATAATTCCAGCAAAAATACTCTGGTAAGCCTAAATTGAGGATAGTACCTACCAGGAATAGTGTTGTCCAGCACAAATGCCACCGAGCCTCCAACAAACATGGCTGTCGTCAGCAAAACATTAAGCACTTGATCAATTTGTATTATTCCTGCAAAAGATGCATAAAGCCCCTTAAGAAACTGTCCTTTCTCTCATCGAGATAATATACTTATACCGTAATATACTTATATTAGTATATACTTATACTAATATACCGTATGTGGTTACATGTACCTGTAACAAGAGGGTTTTCTTTGAGGTAGCTGGGCAGGACCAGGCCGAAGAAGATAGAGAAGCCAAGGACAAAGAGGTTTCGAGAGGAGTTGAGATCCACAAACTGCAGGTTTGAGAGGCCGACAGCGGTGATCATGCCAAATAATGTGCAGAATAGTGCTCCGAGCACTGGGTCCGGCAGCGATGCAAAAAGAGCACTGAATTTGCCCACCATTCCCAGCAGGAGCATGAAAGCAGCACCATACTGGATCACACGCCTGCTGCCCACCTGTACAAGAGGCATTTATGAATACTTGACTTCAAGCAGTAAGAAATGAAAGCATGTCAGGATGTGCCACTTCAATAATACACATGGTGCAGACGCTGCACAGGTTCATCTTACTCGAAATTCTACAATAGCTTTAAATGACAACTTTAAAATGATTGTTTTAGAGGCCTTGTAGGTAAAACTGAGGCCAGATACAAGATTAAGAATTGAAGCTCATTCTCGAGAACACACAGTTCGTGGCAAAAGTGTAGATCCTTTATGATTTTGTTCTTATTCTTATATTCTTAGCACATAGTGCCTTTTCTTCAATTGTTCTTCAAAAAGGTGTTAGAAGTTCAGGCAAATATAAAGGCAATGCAAAATTTTTGTCAGACGAAAAGCAAAAAATCTTTTTGGATGCCATTCCATGTTTGAAAGTCACAGCTCAATTCCCGCTCTGCCAGTTTTAGAGAGAAGACAAAAGGCAGACCTCCTTAAAGACTGACAAAATAATGACATTTTAAACATGGCATATAATTACACAAATAAGGGGCTCTCACAGTTTTTTTTTTTATCTTTTGGTTCATTTGGGCAGGTGAGACACCAACAACCGAACTAAAAATTGAACAAAGGCAGACAAAAAAATGCAATCCGAGAGCTGCTTGAGGAGATGGTTTCGGTATGAATCTAAACGAACTCTAGAGTGGTTAGTTAGTTTTCGGTGAGAACATGATTGAACTCTGATCCGAACCCGATTGCACATGGCATTATGGGATAGAGTGTGTATGTTTGCAAAGCAGTGTTTAACATGGCATTTCGCGGTCAATCTTGAAGTAGCTTGTAATCCCAGCATCCTTTGCAACGCGCATCATAATACGAATGATATCGTAAAAAATGCCACGGGTCTGGGCAAGTCTGTCCATTTTCCTGCAATGTCACAATTTCCTGGTGTTCTGACCTTCATTGTTTACTTCCGTGTGTAGGTTCAATCAAAAGCAGTCGAGGAAACACATACGATGATGTATGTGACCAATGAGTGGCCTGTATGAGGTCACATGGCTGTATTTTCAACTAGTGTGGATCTGAGGCATCAGTGTGAATGACGATTAAATCTGCAGACGATTACAACAATGAATCAGTTGTTTCTCTTGGTCCAGACCAAATTAAACGAACTAGAAGTGTAAAAAACACCTGAACATAACCTGCGTTACAGTTGAAGATCATTAAAAACTAATAGACAACTAGAAGCCAATCAGAGTCTAGTATTCACGTAGACCATGGCATAGTATTTATTTAAACCACAACTATCACATAAAATCAAATAACATGCTTCTTCCTACTGGTATTTCCAGACTCAGGCTGTTTAATTCCAAGCACTTCTTAAACTCATCATTTGCTTTGCGGTGTGTTGTAAATCAGCTTCACTCTGTTCATGTTGACAAATGTTTAATGTGTTTGCTGTGCTTTTATCTTTGATGTGCACGGTGTCCTTGAATAAATAAAATGTATTATTATTAGTATTATATATTACTTTTCAAGCGTTAATTAGTTGTGTGTTTCATTGATGCCTGTGGGAATGGCATTGGGTCAAATCGGAGACTTCAAACAAAGTTACGCATTAAATGTCTCTGTATTCGCTCATAAAACAGTTCTTTTCAAGCCAAGCCTTAGTTACACATCAAGAGGACCCCAATTCTAACTATACATCACTTGAGAAAAAGCATACCTTAGTGATGCCTAGCACCCCAATGTTTGGGCTAGAAGACGTGGAGCCATTTCCTGTCCCAAAGACTCCATCAAGAACACAGGAGAGACCCTCCATAAAGATCCCCCTGGAGATAAAGAGATTTGTTAAGTTATGTGGAATTTCAATAAGGAAAACTGAAGCTCTAGCCATGTGATGTACCGGTTAATGGCATGTACGGGAGGTGGAGGGGCACCAGAGAGACGGGCACAGGCGTAATAGTCTCCGATTGACTCTATGATACTGGCAACCACAGCACTCAGCATCCCGATCACCCCTGCTGCCGTCACAGTAGGCAAACCCCACT